GGATGGACTGGGGTGAAGTGTGTAGGCGTAGGAAATCTGAGGACCAAAATGGTATTGGTTACTTACTGAGGTTAGGGACTGCATACTTTGCTCCAAGTTCAAATGACTTGCCAATTACAATATTCTTATTCTTTAGCACTTTGTAATTTACAAAGGAGGTGGCCATGTAACCAAAGTTCTCTAGTCTAATGTGGAAAGTGTTAAGTGTGGTTATAGACAAAGTCTATGAAAGTGTAGAAGACTGAGAGTTTAGCTCCAACTGGAAGACTTAGGGAAGACTTCTTGGAGAAGCTAGTTTTTTAAGCCAGGTCTTAAAGGATAGGTAGGATGTTATTAAATAGATTGGGGTAAAAGAACATTCTGTTTTGGAAAGGCCTGAAGCAAAGCCATGAATTTTGAAAAATACAGAGCTTGTTTGTGGAACAGTTCATAAAAAATAAACATAGAGAGCTTGACTTCAAGATGAGCAGGGAGAAATGGAAAAAGAGCAGTGGAAATTAGAATGTGCTATACCAGTAGCTATGGTGACTACAAGCATGCACAGAGCCAGTATGACAGAAGAAAAAAAAAACTACAGAAAAGAGAACGATGCGTCCTAGTGTGCCCATGGCTACCTTCAGTCTGAGTTGCTGCTAAAGGCAGCATTTACATTTATACCAGAAGTTTTAACAGGTCTACTGCGTTCCTGTATGCCTGTGTGCGTTCTTGCTCACGGTCTTGCTTTCTCTTTCTTGCTCTTGCTCTCTCTTTCTCTGTCCCTCTCTCCTGTGCACTCTCTCTCCTTCCCTCCCTCTCTTGTCTCTCTCTCTCTCTCTCACTGCTGTAATCACAAGAATCGTACTGTGATGTATTCCCACTGCTGTGCCCCTCAGCTCCTCAGTATTTGCCTGGAGAGTAAAATGGTTTGTAGACTGGTTATATAGAAATATACATTAGTGTTTATTCAACTATAACACTGTGGATCATAATATCTGCTTAAGTTTGTGTGTGTCTGAAAAGAGAATTTAATAATTAAAGGCTATTTACCACACTTTTTCTTGAAAGACTGATTCTTTGAATCTGAGACTGCAAAGCTTAAGGTGCAGTACCTGGATTTGTTTATTTTATTTCTCTTAGATTTATTTACTTTATGCTTTCATGCTGAAGAGCCATTTGGTTTCTTTCTTTCTTTTTTTTTTTTTTTTTTTTGGAGACAGAGCCCCTCCCTCTCTTTTGCCCAGGCTAGAGTGCAGTGGTGCTATCTCAGCTCACTGCAACCTCTACCTACCAGGTTCAAATGATTCTCATGCCTCATCCTGTCAAGTAACTGGTACTACAGGCATGTAACACCACACCTGGCTAATTTTGGTATTTTTGGTAGAGAGGGGGTTTCCATGTTGCCCAGGCTGGTCTTGAACTCCTGGGCTGAAGCCATCCAACCCATCCTTGGCCTGGGATGGGATTACAGTCATGAGCTACCACATCCAGCCAGAGAGCCATTTGGTTTCTTGGTGCCATGTGCTACAACATTCTTTCTGTCAATATTGTTTTTCTAGAAAATACACTATTTATAATTTCAAATTATACTTTATTGCCTTTTTCTTTTCTCCCAGAAGGGCATATGCATATAAAATAGTATTATACATTTGAACTTGCCCTGATAGAGTTTATGAGATGTTGATTGCTATATTGCGTTTGACTGTATACAACAGACTCTACTGCAGTGATTTAAAAAGTTTAAGTTCATTTATTTTATTTTAAAAAATTTAATTTTATTTAATATTATTAATTTTTTGAGATGGGGTCTTGCCATGTTGCTGAGGCTGGTCTTAAACTCCTGGGCTCAAGCGATCCTTGTCTCAGCCTCTTGAGCATCTTGGACTACAGGCACACACAGCTGTGCTTAGCCATTTATGTTACATAACAAGAATTCCAGAGATAGACAGTTGTTGGCCCAGTGATGCTACAAGAATGTATGCTCATCCTATTCTTTGGCTCCCTGTCCTCAGCAGGCCTAATGTTGCTAATGTTTGTAAGATGGCTCTTGTATTTCCAAACTTTACATTCTTGTTTCAGGCAACGGAAATGGGAAAGGATAAAGACTGTCCTGCTGCTTCTGCCCTTACTTTATTAAGAAAATAAAAGGTTTCCATAACCAATAGCAGACTTTCCACTAAATCCCACTGACCAGAATTGACTCACATGGCTCTCCTAGCCACAAGGAAGAGAATAGGAAGCCTCTTATCTTTGTCAGGGCACAAACTACCCTGATCAAAGTCAAGGAGAAAGGGGAATCTATTTGAAGTAGGGAGCTAACAATGTCTGTCAAAGTACTGTGCCTGAAGTTTAATTATTTTACCTATTATTTTAATGCAAATGATATTCAATCAGAATTTAGCTACAAAGAAAAAGGAAAATATTCACAGCCTGTCACTTTTTCTTTCCTTACATTATAAAACTATGTAATACAATTTCTTATGCCTGCTTTATTGTATAATAGCATAGGTTGTTGGAAATACTATGTTGTATTTGCACTGGAGTACCATTTTCCATTCATTTAAATGAAGTGACAGTTTCTTTTTTGGGGAGGTGATTTTCACAGTGTATAAGTAGTTTAGTTATTCTTGTTATAGACAGATTTGTAATGCATATATGGAGTTTATTTTAAAGGTAAATGGGTCTTAAATATCACAACTCTAAGGTAAAGTATTTCATCAAAATCTAGTGAAAAAATTTTGACTTCTGGTGTAAGGGAAGACTCTTAATATGCTTTAGAAAAATCCATTTTTAAAAATCTGAACTTTAAGACTCAATTCAAAATATTTGACCCTTTTCTACCATTGATCATACCTTAATTAATTTTAACTTTCTTTTACTAAGAGGAAATTATATCAATTATTCAGTTGTGGCATACTGCCATAGTTTTTTAAAATTTAACAAACATAACACCTGTTAACAGTGTGCACAGGTCCTAAAATAGAATTCGTAGAAAATAAAAAAGAAGTAGGTTTGTGCATTGTAGCCCATGTATGAAATCCCGACGCTTTGGGAGGCGGAGTGAGAGGACTGTTCGAGTCCAGGAGTTGGAGGAGAACAGCCTGGATAACATAGACCTCATTTCTTGCACCTCTCCCCACCAAAAAGAGGCATAATTTTTGTTCTTGGGACATTAGTTGATGAGACAAAATAAACAATAAAAGATAGTATGTGATCAGGTGTAAAAGTTTGGTTGGGCGTGGTGGCTCATGCCTGTAATCAGCACTTTGGGAGGCCGAGGCAGGTAGATCACCTGAGGTCAGTAGTTCGAGACTTGCCTGGCCAACATGGTGAAACCCCATCTCTACTAAAAATACCAAAAAAATTAAGCCAGATGTGCTGGGCACTTGTGATCCTAGCTACTTGGGAGGCTGAGACAGAAGAATTGCTTGAACCTAGGAGGCGGAGGTTGCAGTGACCCGAGATTGCACAATTGCACTTTAGCTGGTGACAAGAGTAAAATTCTGTCTAAAAAAAAAGTTTTATAGGAATTTAAGAAAGTAAAACTGCAGATTTATGACTTATAATGGAAGAAGTAGATATTCAATACAGGGTTGTTTGATGTGGTGGGAAGGTACAAAGAAGAGCCTTTCTTTCCATCTCATCTGCTGTTTTATTCATTCACCCTTGTTCAACTATTTATAGTGTCTGAGATGTTCTATCAACTTTGATACTTGCATACTTGCCTTTTGTTTGTTTTTGAAATTTCCTTGTTTGTTGGCCTGATAATATCTTATCTTTCAAGACTCAGTTTGAATATCGCCTCCTCTGTGAAATCTTCCCTGAACTTCCTGGCCAGAGTTGGCTGCTTCCTTTTCTTTTCTCCCAAAGATATCTGTATGTATGTGGGGTGTTTGTGCGTGAGTATACGTGTGTGTGTATGGGTGTATTTAGAGTCATCACATTGCACTGCTTATTTACTTGTCTGTCACAAGCTTTTGAGCTTCATGAACATGGGGAGGCTATCATATTTATTTCCAAATCACAGTGCCTGGTGTAGTGGTTTTGTACGTTGGCCCACTCAATGAGTGGATGAATGGATAAAAAAAGGAATGGGGTGGGTGAATGGATAAAAAGAAGGAGTTAGCCTGGAGTGTTTTCATGAGTATTCGGAGTCTGTCCAGAGGGAACTTAGATCATAAGAAAACTTGACCTAGCAGGAATCATTTATAATTTGTTAAGATTTAGAGATAAGATTGAATAGGCAAAGCAGAACTTAGGTGGCAGTGGAAATTATAATAAATAATGGAGTTATATTAAATACAATGTCTGAAATTGGTCTTTGATGCGCCCATTTTTCCAACATACTGTCCTTTGTATTTTTGTAGTGCCTCCACTTCTCATTCAGAGAATTCAGTGCATACAAAATCAGCTTCTGTTGTGTCATCAGATTCCATTTCAACTTCTGCCGACAACTTTTCTCCTGATTTGAGGGTATGTATATTATTTTAAATTTCTGATGAAGTACTTTCTGTTATATATTTGTGGCCAACACTATCAGTATAACTAATTTAGCAAGAGATATTGATGGAGTATTCTCATAGATCCGAGTCTACAAAATATCCCAGAATAGGCCAGCAAATTTGGAACGCTTACTTATTTGTAAAAGAAAAATGTGTATTTCATCTCTGAGGTTGATCACCTCTAAGTTCTTTGCCAAATGATGATTAATGAATTTTTTTGTAGTATAAAAGATTTTTATGATTATTCATATAACAGCCAATAATAGCTAACATTTATTGAATACATACTGTGTGCCAAGCATTGTTCTAAGTGCTATACATGAATTATCTCTTGTAAAACTCTCACCAATTCTGTCAGCATTCTACAGATGATAATAACTTGTAGAGATTAAGTAATGTGTCCAAGATCTCATAGCTAATAAATTCTATTGCCAGTGTTCCAGCCCATGCAGTCCAGTTCGGGAGCTAAGTCACTTAAACACTGTGTGATAGTTCCTACACATCTCATTGTAGTTTGTAAGTATTCCTCTATTTATTAAAGGTCTCATTTCTATGAAATTAACCACATTAGCGATACCCTGTAGAACTCTGCATTTCTAGATTCATCTGCTTTTCTATAACTGCTTGTCCATGAATGATTGAGAAAACGAATTATATGTGTAGTGCTAACCCTTTACCCTTACTTAATAATCATTATTTTTCTAAAAAACAAAAAACAATAAACATTTATATCTCATGGTTCTGGAAGGTGGGAAGTCCAAGATCAAGGCATTGGCAAATCCATAATCTGATGAGGGTATGTCTTCTTGTATTCTCACGTGATGGACAGCATGTCAGAATCTTTTTATTCCAAACAACTGGCTGCTTTCCAAATAACTGGTTACACTTATGCAGTTCTAGCTAAAACATAATGCACTCATTTGCTGTTGAGCATATGTTGAGGATACTTATATCTTTTTCAACCATTTCATTGTCAAAACAAGAAGAAGGCAACATCTGTAAAATCTTCTGCATATTTCTTATTACCTTTTGTGAAATTTCATAAAATATTAGGTGGGGAATATCATGGTTTAAAACATCACTAAAAATTAGAAGGGCTTATCTTCATAATCTAGATATATATTGTGATAATTATGAAGGCTTCATGATATCATTAGACATTATCTTGAAGCATACAAAGAGCAGGGTTCATTGTTAACAAGAATGGTTATAAATCCATTGTTGCTTCTCAAGTCATTACTGCTTTAAAATATATGTATGTATCTAATATTTCCTTATTCATTACATTAATAAAAATCTACCAAGGGCCAATGGGCTTCTTAATAATTTTGAAATGTCTTGGCCTAATTTTGGTTAGATTTTATTAAGTAAAAGCATCATTAAACAATGACTAACCTCATACTGTGACTGAAAGAATTAATACCAGGAATGAAGGAATGTCACTTTTGCTAGTTGCTTATGCCTATATGTTATTTTCTACCTGCTGTTTCTTGTCTGAAACATTTTAAACTATTTGTGTATACCTATGAGTGTTAAACTACTTAACTTGACATACATGTGAGGTACAGTACATTACAGGGTGCTGAAAATGGGCAGATGAAGGAGGATTCTCCACTATCAGCTTATCTCTGCATGTAGACCTCCATCATTTCCTCAGGACACCTGAGGAAATAAATAAATATTGAATGACTGGCTTACATTTGGACAAAATGAGGGCTGTAGTGCATCTGTTAACCTGTATAGAAAATATTGTAAGGTTTTCTAATTTTTCTTAAACTTCTAATTCTAGAACAGTTTTAGATGCATAGAAAAATTGCAAAGATAATAGAATTCTTATATACTTCACCTCCAGTTTCACCCATTATAACATCTTACATTAGTATGCTACATTTGTTCCACATAATGAACTAATATTGATAGGTTATTTTTAGCTAAAGTCCATATTTATTGAGATATCCTTAGTTTTTACCTAATGTTCTTTTTGTTCCAGAATCCCACCCAGCAGGATGCCATATTACATTGAGTAGTTATGTCTCTTAGGTTTCTCTTGACTGGGACAGTTTCTCAGACTTTTCTTGTTTTTGATGACTATATCAGACTGTATCTTGTTTTTGATGACTTGATAGTATTTTATAGACCATGTGACATTTTACTCATTCAAGTGGTTTATGTGTTTTGGGTAGGAAGATCACAGAGGTAAAGTGCCATTTTATCACGTTTTATTAAGGGTACATATTATCAACATGACTTGTCACTGTTGATGTTAACCTTGATCTCTTGGTTGAGGTGATGTTAGTTTTTTTCACTGTAATTGTTCCCTGTGCCCCTCACCCACCCACATACTATACTTTTTGGAAAGAAGTTGCTATGAATAACCCACACTTAAGGAGTAGGGGGTTATACTTTACTTCCTTGAAGGTGGAACATCTAATAACATTTTTTTTCAATTCTGCATGGGAGATTTTTCTCCCATTTATTGATTTGTTTAAGCTTTATTTTATTATGGACTAATGGATATTTGTTTTATACTTTTTGTTACAACTCAAACTACTTTATTGATTCCAGCTTCAGATTGAGAGTTCTTTCAGTCGGGTCTTTTGTTCCTTTGCCATACTCTCATCATTGTGCTGTTTTTTGAGCATTTCCTTACTTTCTGGCACAACAAGATGTTCCAGACTCATAATATATGTTTCCTCCCTCAGTTCTAGAATCATCGTCTAGTTTTCATAGGAGTCCTGGTTCCTTTTTTTGGAAACCAAGATCTAGCCACTAGGTATGTTTAGTTTTTACTTTTTTACAAAAGAAAAAGTAACAAAGCCTTTCCTTCTGAAGCAAAAGATCATTTTGCACCTGTACAATTTGGAGATAATACGATGGGAAGGGTGATTATAAATACAAATTTGTTTGGAATAGACCTCTTTATGCCTGTCCCTTCAGGTTAAATGTTAGACATAAATGTCCTCAATTACATGACTACCTTAGCACCAGGTTACAAAGGGAGTCTCTCAAATTTATACATCAATTCTGTTTGCAGGAATTGTTTCAATGTATCCTGTTAGTGCCTTACATAATTTAGCATCTTTCACAATTTAGAAGGACCGTCAGAGAATTTTTATTTGCTGAATAAGCAGATAGCTATTAAATTAGGAAGAGGATTTTAGGCAACAAAGGTTAACTGTTCTTCCCTAGGACAGTGCCTAAAGGGGCAGAGAAAAAAAGAAAAGTAATATGGTGTTAAGCTACATGTTATCCAGTTTTCTCATTTTTAAAGGTATCTTTAATTGTTTGATATATCTTTACTTGAATTATAGTCTTCAGCTCCTGGAGGGAGATGAATGAGTAACATTAAATTAAGCGTTAGTATCATTTAAAAATGCAGCCTGATTTCAAATCAATTACGTAGATTTCTTTTAGAAAGAAGGTTGGGTGGTAGAAGGAATGTGCTTCTAATAATTAAAAAAAAAAAAAAGTCTAGCCTGCTACTGTGATAGATATTTGTACCTGCCTCATCTCTTTTAGCTTTCTCAACAGTCCTGTGGTGGATTTTTTTTTTTTGGGCTGGGGGTGGGGGAGGGAGAGGGGAAGGTTGGGGTGGGAGAAGTGATGTGTTTCTAATAATTAAAAAAAAAAAAGTCTAGCCTGCTACTGTGATAGATATTCATACATGCCTCGTCTCTTTTAACTTTCTCAACAATCCTGTGATCCAGTTGTTAGTCCCATTTAACAAATGAGAAACCTGACAGTCAGAAAGGGTGAACTAAATCATGTACTTAGTGGCACAGTTGGCTGTTGCCCTTATTTTATCTCAGGTCATTCGTACTCTTGTAAGGTACATTTACAAGGAGAGACCCCTCCCATGATTTTACTGCTAAGCTTTTTAAAATACTGATATTTTCTTAATTAATAAGGAATATCTTTAATACATTTTGGGAATGAAAATAGTAGGTTTCAGTATTACTTTCTTAATAAATATTTGAGAAGTGCTTTTCTAGTAACCAGAAAAGGAGAGTTTTATAATAAAATTTGATTTCCTCTCTCAATTTTGTTAATTGATTATGATTGCTTTTCATGTGTATACCTTTAGCAACCATAAAATAGTAGTGTTTGAATTATAGGCAAAACTAACTACAGACAGCTATGTGTTGCATTTTGACTATGGTTTGGCTGTTAGGTGTGGATGAAGGGTTTGGTGTAGTGTTTTTGAAAATTATCATTCACAGATGATTTGACGCTGGTTAACCTCTAGGCTTCCAGTTCTTCACAAAGCCTCATTGCTTATTCACATCCTGAGCCTTCACATTTTAGAAGCTCCTTTTTAGTAACAGCTTTTACATAGAAAGTGTAGAGAACATTATACATTGAAAAGCTAATCCAGTTTCATTTAAAATATTAAATTGTATAGGTTTTTTTGCTATAGGTACTGTAAAATGGCACTTTCTAAATATGAAAGCTTTTTCTATAAGGAATTTGGTATTCAAACAAGATTTGTTGCCTCTGCATCAGTAAAGCAGAATGGAAAATGGGCTGGGGAGAGAACCAGTCCAGATATATGTTGAACTTTGATTTTTCAAGTGGGATTCTATTTGTTTTACTTTTTTGCCTTGTTATCCTTGTTTGTTATGGAAAAAGTCTTATACAGATGTAATCCTGGAAAAATTGGACACAAATCCTGGCTTTGTAAATTGAATTGTGCTTTTCTAATGACATAATTGTAGTGTTTTCTCTTTGCTTCATTTGTTCTCCCCTTGGAAGTAAAACTTACTTAATTTCAGTTTTAAAACTTATCAAATTCTTTTATATAGAATTTTAAGTAATGCAATTTAATGAAATAACTCATTTGCAGTTTTTAAAATTAGGCTTCTTTTTACTAGAACATATTTCTGAAGTTTGCCACTTAGAATTAGAACTCAGGGAACTTATGTCTGGTTGTTTATTTGCCCACTGGAGAATCAGTCCCATAAAATGTAGGATTTTAAAATTCAAATGTACAGTTCTACTTATTTATTAGTTATAATTTGTATAGCATTGGGTTTTAATTAAAGTATGTGCCTCAAATGGTGGTGATTGAAAGATAAAAGTCAAACTGTAGTAGTTCCTTTCCTTTGTGAAGCCTGTGGTTTTATACTAATGTTTGTCCACAATTCAGAATTAAATATTAAATAGAATTATGTCTTTTATGTCTTTGTTTTAGATGTCTTATGTACATGTATATGATAAAGGATATCATATACATGTTATTAACCATCTGTTCTTAACCATTGTTCTTAACCATCTGTCTTGCCTTGAAATATTTAATAGGCTTAATTCATGCAAATGTGCTTATCTCTTTAAAATTTGTGTTATGTTATGCATATTTTCTTTAAGAATCAAACTTGGATTATTTTTTAGCTAGACTGTGTTCACAAATGTGATATTGACATGTACTGAAAATATGCAGATCTATTTAGAATGAGTTAAGGAGTCTCACAGAGCATATGCTAGCTAGTGAGCTGTGTCTATCACATAGTAATTCTTTTAATAGAGAAGAAATGATTGTTAGCATTTATTTATGATTAACACCTTCACCTCCCTTACCAACAGTATCAACTCTTAAGAACCTAGCAGTTGAAAAAACCAACCTTAGCCAGATAAAGGATATCCATCAGAACTCTACAATAAGCCTCATCTTTAATGATGAAATACTAGATATATTTTCTTTAAGCTTAGCAACATGATGATTACTATCTCCACTTTTATCCAGCATTATGCTAGAAATCCTAGGCAGTAAAATAAGAAAGAAAAAATAATAAATGATACAAGAAATGAAAGGAATAAATAAAACTATCACCCCTTTTATCCAGCATTATGCTGGAAATCCTAGCCAGTAGAATAAGAAAAGAAAAAAATAATAAATGATACCAGAAGTGAAAGGAATAAATAAAACTTTCATTATTTGTAGATGATTGTCTGGGAAATCTGAGAAAAATCTATATACAAACTACCAGAACTAATGATATAGCTTGGCACTGTGGATGGATACAAGATAACATAAAAAGGATCATGCTTCTGTACCTTAGCAAAAATGTTTTGAAAATGTGACTTAAAGAAGATTTCAGTTGTAACAGCAACAAAAGTACCTTACTTAGGAATAAGTTAAAACGAGATGTAGAAGAACTTTATAGAAAACTTTATTAAAGAAGCTAAAAGAATATCTAAATAAATGGATGAGTAAATTCAATAGCCTGGAGATGTAAAATATTTTTAAATATATCTTATTTGAATATAATTTCAAAAAAATTTAAAAGTTTGTTTTGCAGAACTTGGCACAATTTTAGCTGACTCTAAAATGTATATGCAAGGGTAAAAGGTCAAGATTAACGAAGAGGAAAAATAAAGTGGGAAGATTCACCCAGTTAGACATAAAGCTAAAGTAAACAGGATACGAATTAATCAGTCAAGTTTAGGAACTCTGTATATGACAGATGTAGTATAACAAATCAATGTGAGAAAGAATGAATGAACTATTTGTTTAGCAATGCTAGGTTAGCCATGTTTAAATTAAAAAAAAGTAAGAGGTTGGATTTTTAACTCACACACACCAACTGAATTCATTAGATTGAAAACCTAAAACTGAAAATAAAAACTCTAAAATATTAGAAGAAAATATATGACAATATTGTTATGATTTATGGTACCAGGAAGAATATTTAAAATGAGACTCTAAAGTATTAACTTTAAAGAGAAGATTATTTTTATTGTGCTAAAATGTACTAATTTTATGTGACAAATTCCATATGTGAAGATTGGAAAGACAAATGACATTTTGGGATAGTAGACTTGCAAAGAATATGTATAATTGATAAATATTAGTTTCCAAATATGCAAAGAACATCTACAAATTAATAAGAGAAAATGCAAAACCCAATAGCAAGTTGAGAAAGTCTATGAACAAGAAATTGAAGGAAAAATATATACATAATATTTAATCAATATATTAAAAATGTTAAACTTCACTATAATCAGGGAATCAGGGATATGTCATTTTTTTTTCCCATTTATTTATTTTATTGCATTTTAGGTTTTGGGGTACATGTGAAGAACATGCAAAATTGTTGCATAGGAACACACGTGGCAGTGTGATTTGCTGCCTTCCTCCCCATCACCTACATCTGGCATTTCTCCCCTTGCTATCTCTCCCCAGCTCCCCACCCCCCACCGTCCCTCCCCTGTTTCCCCCCAACTGACCCCAGTGTGTAGTGCTCCCCTCCCTGTGTCCATGTGTTCTCATTGTTCAACACCCGCCTATGAGTGAGAACATGCGGTGTTTGATCTTCTGCTATTCTGTCAGTTTGCTGAGAATGATGGTTTCCAGGTTCATCCATGTCCCTACAAAGGACCCAAACTCATCGTTTTTGATGGCTGCATAATATTCCATGGTGTATGTGTGCCACATTTTCCCTGTCCAGTCTATCGTCGATGGGCATTTGGGTTGGTTCCAGGTCTTTGCTATTGTAAACAGTGCTGCAATGAACATTCGTGTGCACGTGTCCTTATAGTAGAACGATTTATAATCCTTTGGATATATACCCAGTAATGGGATTGCTGGGTCAAATGGAATTTCTATTTCTAGGTCCTTGAGGAATCGCCACACTGTCTTCCACAATGGTTGAACTAATTTACACTCCCACCAACAGTGTAAAAGTGTTCCTATTTCTCCACATCCTCTCCAGCATCTGTTGTCTCCAGATTTGGATATGTCATTTTTAAAGCAACTGAGAAAAATTATTTCACATTTGTTAGATCAAAAAAATTAAAAAGTATGATAATACCAAGTATTGCTGGAGAAGTTGGTCAGTGGGAATTCTCACACAGTGCTGAAACAGCTACAGTAGAGACAAATATAGCAATACCTATGAACGCTCATTCTTTTTAGCAGTTCCAGTTTTAGTCTTGTGGAAAGTCCCACATTTATTCCAAGAGAGTGGAATAAAGATATTAATTGCACATTATTTGTGAACATGATAAGTATAAATCATTTGATAGTTATTAATAAATTGTGGTATATTCTATGACAGAATAATATCTATCTAACTAAGTGAGTTTCAATACACAAAACTACTATATGTTGATTATAGATATACATGCTGTTCGGAAAATACAAGCTGCTCCTAAAACACACGAGTAATGTATCAAGTATCTTACAGTTTCCCTCCTGCTTCACCACATCACCAAAGGCCTGTTTACCTCAGTTCTTTTTACCTAGTACCTTTTACATGTTTGACTTCCAACAAAAAATTACAAGGTACACTAAAAGGCAAAATTTATACATAAGAATTATAGCTTTCTGTTATAAAAATACATATTAAATGTAAGAGAAAGAAAAATTATATTTATAATAATTAAAAATGTAAAATATCTAGGAATAAACTTAAATATGCAGAAAATATATGAAGAAACTAACTCTGCTGAGTGATAAAGATGAATACTTATACCTTGTATTTGAACAGAAAAGCTCAATATTTTTAAGATTTTAATTTTTGTTTATAAATAATATGGTTAACATTTGACAAGATAATTCTCAAGTTTGTAATGACAAGTCTGGAAACAATATAAATGCCTTTCAGTGGGGAGGATGATTTTAAGATTACATGTTTACTATTGAATATTTGCAGTACGAAATGAATGGTGGATCTCCATTTGTTTTTCAAGATAGATTCAAAATCCAAGGACAGAACATTGTGAATAATAAATTCCCATTTGTTGACAATAGTAGGTGGAGTGATAGAAGAGGCTGTGGGTACATAAACAGGTGATATTAGTTAGGAGCAGGTTGAATGGAAAGAATGAGACATGTTTGGAAGCTATTGGAATAATTCTAAGTAAAAGTTGCTAAAGGACATGTACTAGGGTAATGACATAATGCTTGGTAAAGAACGAATCTTAAAAAAAATTATAGGTGAATGTAATGTACACAAAGCTACCTGAACATTGAAGATTATAGGGAGAGAGGAGTCAAAGATGATTCCAGGTTTCAAATGTGGTGACAGTACATGGTTCATTTCTCATCTGCCCTCCCCTTCTCTGTATCTTTGCTGTTTCTTCTCTTATTAGTGGGGTAATGCTAAAGTTTTCTTCATCCCTTGCTTCCCCTACTCTCTTCCACATCCTCTTTCTTCTTCATGGTTTCAGCTGTCATCTCTTTTTGGATGACTCCCACATATTTACCTCTGGTTCTGATCTCTTTCTCAGCCTTTGGTCCTTCATATCCCTTGCTTGCTTGGGATGCTGTCATGTCATGATCATGGTTTTAGTGTAATCAGACATCTGTTTGATTCCAGCCGCTGTTGTGAGATATATATCACCTTGGAAAAGCACCCCTAACTTCTGTAAGGATCAATTACTCCATTTACAAATGGGCATATGAATACTACTTATCTTTCAAGGGTGCTAAGAACACTGAATGAATAATGATCTTCTAAAAACAGTACATAAGCTGGGCTCATTCTCCTTGGTATGAGACAAAATGAAAGTAATTTAGATAATATTATATCTAATATTATATCTACCTATCTTCTGTTTTATTTGTTTTTGTCAGACAATCTATAATGAACCATCATTTATTGGAAAGGACTGCCTGTAGTATAGCTCAGAAGGACACATCAGAAGGTGTGAGGCTAGTCCTTATGGATGGAAAAGTGGGATATATTAGTGGTGTGGGGAATGAAAGGAAGAGACATGACAACATTTATAAACAGATTAAATATGAGAGTCAAGGAAGCATTAAATTGTGACTTAGCTCATGTATGGAATAATGTGTTACCCTTTAGAGATACAGGATTTTTTGTAGAAGTTTTTGCAGACAAGTGAAGGAGTTGACATTTATTCCATTGACTGTGCCTTGTGTGGTGGTGCATTTGTTACAATTGATGAAACAATATTGATACATTTTTATTTTAATGCTAAAATACATAGTTTGCATTGGGGTTCATACTTCGAGGCATACATTCTATGGGTTTTGACAAAAGTATGATTGTATATATTCATTGTTACTGTATCATGTAGAATAGTTTCAGTGTCCTAAAAATCCCCTTGCCTCACCTCTTTCTTTTTCTCCTCTCCATGAACAGACAATCACTGATCTTTTTCTTTGTCCACACTGTTGCCTTTTCCAGAATGTCATGTAGTTGGAATCATCAAGTGTGCAGCCTTTTCAGATTGGCTCTTTCACTTAGTAATATGCTTTCAAGATTCCTCAAGTCTTTCCATGGCTTGATAGCTAATTTATTTTTATCACTGAATGATATTCCTTTGTATAATGTACCACAGTTCATTTATCCATTCACCTACTAAAGGTCAGATTGCTTCTAAGTTTTCACAATTATGAAAACTTGGATTTTAAGATGAAAATCTGAAAGTTTTTATTGATATTAGGCATATTAGTTTCTTAGAGCTGCTATAAAAACAGAGTACCATAAACTAGGTGGCTTAAAACAACAGAAATTTATTCTTTCATAGTTCTGGAGCCTAGACATGGGAAATCAAGGTGTTAGCAGGGTTGACTCCTGCGAACCAAGAGAGCTTTGAGGGAGAATATACAGTATTCCATATCTTTCTCACAGCTGCTCATGACGGTCAGCCATCTTTGATGTTCCTTGGATTGTAAATGCATCAGTCCAATCTCTGCTTCCATCTTCATAGAGTATTCTACCTGTTTCTTCACATTGCTCTCTTCTTGTGAAGATACCAGTCATACTGAATTAGGGGCCCACCCCATGCCAGTATGACCTCATCTTAACTAATTATATCTGCAACAACTGTTTCCAAATTAGGCCACATTCTACGGCACTGGTGGTTAGACTTCAACAACATTATTTGAGGGCACAGTTCAACCTGTAGCATGAAGTGATGTTTTCTAGACTGTTCTTCTTTAGATAATCATCCTTTTTGTTGTCGTTGAATCATGCATGGTGTTGTAACATTGTCCAGCTTTTGCTAGTTGTGGTTTCAGTTGAAAAGCCAAAGTGTCCTTGAGTGTGTTATAAAAAGAAAGGGCTTCCCTGTGCTTGAACTTGGATGTACTTTCACATGTATAACCAATAAGATCTATCCCAGATGCCAGTCTGTGGCTCTACCTTGTTAGATTTTTTTGTTTGCATGGTTCATTTGCCTACTTTGTAGTTTGTCACTCAAGTTGTAGAAAAAAAAAGAATAAAGTATAATTGATATAAACGGTTTTCTTTAGAAGGATTATCCAACAAAAAATAAGTTACTAAGAAAATCCTTTTTTTCCTCATCTGGGTTTTAGCACAGTACATTAAAAAACCTGGAGGATAGTTTATAACTATATAGACACATTTTTCCCTTTCAGGTTATTATTATTTAGTGTTTTGCAGATTTCAGACAAATTCTTTCCTGTTTTTCTACCATCTAACTGTTCCACATGAAAACTGACTCTTAAACTTGCCAGCTTCCAGATCCAGTTTATAGTAA